CTTGATATTATCGCCAACTTCTTCAGGTACGTCTCCAAATTGTCCCTGACTCAGTGAACTTGGAGGAAAATGAAGTTATAAGCTTCATTGGGCATTTTTATTCCATTTGAATGTCTTTCCAGGCTTGCATGGACTTTAGGTAGAACTGTGACTCCCCAATTGTGCTTGTTTAGGAAGTTATAAATTTATGGAAGGGGCAAAAACCTAGGGTTCACAGGTCCCCTCTCCTTTCGAACTGCAAATATCATGACATTGACAATGCAATAACTGGCTTCTCTATTAATCAGCAAAACTAGTGCAAACCAGTGCCTGTTGGAGTTCACTCATTTTTAAAGTTTATTTTAGTGCTGTTGAAATTTTAAATGTGAATACTCACTTTTATGGTCCAAAATAAGTATAATTATCCTTTACTTTAAATTTTTATCTTTAGATACGATAAGAAAGTAGCTTCCTATTATGGAAAAAAATATTTTTTCCTTTAAAAATTATTAAAACCCCTCATAATTTTCATTGCCTTTATTATGATCGTCCATAACTTCAAAGGACAATGCATAAGAGACAATAGTGTATACCAATTACAATCCTTTGACCTTTCTGGAAAGATTTAAGGACAAGAACACCAGATTATTTTATTGGAGTCTCATGTTACAAGCATTTAATTTACAGATTGTACATGTTGCAGGTCATGAAAACATTATTGCAGATGCTTTATCAATAGTTTAATAGAAAAATGTTTATATAAGATAGAAACGATAATATTCAATGTTTTAGATACATATTAAATTAGTATAAAATTGTAACTCTGGGTTAATGAGCTATGGATCTAGTAATATAATGGAGTTAAGGATTTAAAAGAGAAAAACGAAGCTATCTTTTCATAATTATGGTTTTTTCTTTCTTAAAGGGGAGGTGTTGTGAAATTGGGCAGAGTACTTGTGAATTGGGAGGCGGGAAGTTAGAATTTGGTGTTTGTAAAATGCTACGGGGAATGCTTTGCGTGGTCCCTTTAAACGATCATGTGGTTTTTCTGTGCTGAGAGATTTAAAACGGATGTCTGTGAGCAGCAGCTTGAAAGTTTGCAAGTACATACAGTGCACCTAAATTGAAGTATTTGTATTGAAAGGCCATACAGTTAGCATGCCAAGCAGCAGTTATTTTTTAACCAAGACAACAAATTCTTGAATTTAGCCAATCAATTTGAACCAGGCATTTAGATACCAAAAACCAATTCAATTTAAAGCTGATGGTTTTGACAATATAGGACCAATCTTATTGTAAGAAATTGATATGTCATCAAGGATATAAAAGAAAGGGACAGTTGGACAAAACTCTAAAGCTAACTGCCATCTGTCAGAGGTAAAAGTCCTCAGCTCTCAAGAGAGAACCACTGGCTCTCACAGCCTCCTCTGTCTTAGAGAAAGCACCATCTAAGAAACAGCAGTACCAACAGCACAACTAGTTAATATTCCTGACAGAAGAATCGACGGGCAAGGCACAGAACATTCCAGAGTAACCTGGCTGTAATTTTGAGACACTGTATTCTATTTTGTTTTCATATAAGTGGGACATGTATTTATTGGAACAGCATACCAATAGAATCTTACTTTATTCAGGAATAGTTAGGAGTTAGAAGGGATTTGTTCAGTTTGTTAATAGTTTAGTTAATTTGTTCGCTGTTAGCGTTAGATAGACAAATTATTACTTGTTGATTTTTAAAGTGAGTGTCTGGGATTTATTTTATTTAACCACTAGAAGTTGCTGAAAACCAGGTCACACCACTTTTCACATTCCCTTTTACAGATTGTAGGGTGAGATGCTCCTCTTTGAGTGTTTCAGTTCTAGTTCTCAGAGGGAGACGAGTCAACCTCTGCATTATAACACTCGACACCTCCATCCTCTATCAGGACAGACTGAGACCTATCCACTTCTTTCTTGAAAGGAGACGTGAACAGTTCATTTACCAGCACACTGCTCCAATTGTCTGAGTTTATTCTCAAATTGAACAAGTCAAAAGTGTAATTTTGAGAACCTGCATGAATCCCAGTGATGTATGTTTCTTTATGGGGCATGTGAAATGTTCCTTGTTCTCATCCTACTCGTGGTCCCACCAACAAATCTTTTTCTGATACAATAATGATATAATCAGTGCTGCTTCCTGCTGTCACCTGGAATTTTAAAAGTTAATCAATTTTGCTTCCCATTGGCACCTTTCCGTCAGCTTTACCTGATCCATCTCTGACTCTTCCCTTCACTTCCTTGAATTCACTGTTTCCATTTCTGGCTGTCCATCACAAACCCTCTGACTCCCATAGTTACTTCAACTACACTTTTTTACACATTGCTTCCTACAAGGATGCCATTCCATTCTCCCCATGTCTCTGTTTCCATCACATCTGTTCTGATGTGCCTCTACTGAGGTGCCTCTGACATGTCCTCCTTTTTCTTCAGCTAGGAATTGGCCCCTACCATGGCCCACAATTGTGTCCAACCCACCTCCCCACACTCTGCCCTCACTCTTTCCCCTTCATCCCAGAATCACGATACATTCTCCTTGTCTTTGTTTTCCACCCCACCAGTCAATATATCAACTTCTGCTATTTCTACCACCTCCAGCAGGATACCAACAACAAACATGTCTTCCCCTTCCCTTCACTGTCAGCATTCCACAAAGACCATTCCCTCTGGACACATTAGTCTACGCTTCCATCACTCCTAACACTTCTTCATTTCTCTATGTCACCTTCAAAATCACAAAAGGTGTAATATCTGTCCATTCATCTTCCTTCCTCATTGTCAAAGGCCCAAAACACATCTGTAAGGTTAACAACGTTTTACTTGTCTTTCTTTCAATGTACTCGACTCTTCCTGCTGCTCACGATGTGCTCTCCTTTAAAGCTTGAAGCACAGTGGTAGGATCATGTTCCAGGGGAGATAGGAGGAAGAGTTTGAGCATTGGTACTCAATCTTTCAAAGCCATGTAGAGGGTGGCATGCCCAATGCCACCACCACCCTGATCAGCAAGTTTGAGAACAAAATCAGGGTTAGACCTGAGGAAACAGACAGCAGCAAGTTCAGAGGGAGACAGGTTATAGTGGGTGAGGAGATCAGGCTGCTGGGAGCAGCATCTCCCAATGGTGGCTCACAATGAGGAGGTCAAGTACCAGTAAATGGTCAAATGGTGCACATTCAGATGCAGAGCTTAGATCTGTCTTTTGGTTACTTTTTTAACATCCAATCTTGACTGTTGGAGTGCTTTTCGGTTTATTCCCTCTTTCTGTTCCTGCTATCCTCTGAACCTCATTTCTCATACTACCATTTTGCTGTCCTTCCTTCATTCTACTCTTTGATTTGCTACCCCAACTCAAGATTCATCCCTCACAGGTTATTTTAAAACCCTCTCTACTTCCCTCGGTATATTATCTGCTGGTTTCTGTATGGTTCAGTATAGCCCAACAGTATGGCCCCCATATTCACCAGTGTAGATGCCAATCTCCCATACACCAGAAGCACAAATGCCCACACCATTCTTAGAGCCACATATCTGTTGTAATAACCTTCTGTGTTCAGGTGATTACTCTTCAGGTTCTGTTCTCCAATGTGGTGCCTGGCTTCTCATATTGTCTAAGTAGCAACTCTTTCCTAGTCCTACCTATATTGTTGGGACCTACAAAGATCCCAAATACTGGATGTTCCTCTTCCTATTCCACATTTCTGTCCAATTATGAGCAGATGTCTGAAATGCTGACATTAAATAGGAAAAATAATCTTCTTTTGGCTGCACATGATAATGTCGACCTCCATCACTATATTGTTCCCTCTTACCATCATATTCCTTTTTGCCCCTGTCCTTGAATGGCTTCCTGTACTACTCAGAGCAAAGTAAATGGAAGCTGCAGAAGTTACTTGAAGCTGAACTATGAGCCTGGTATTTTGTGATTGCAGAGATATAGTAAAATTACTCTCAACAAACCTGTTACACACTTGGAAAATAATGTCATCTGTGCATTGTTCTGAGGCAGAGCAGACACGTAAAATAGCCAAGAAAAGCAAGACTTGGCAATGCAGACTTAAATAGTTAAAAAGATATGAAGTGAAAAATAGATTCAAATTTCCCATCTACAGCTCACAATGTCTCAGTGACTTCGTTAAGTTCAATGCATTTTTCTCAACATTCATATTTGTTCCTTATCTTTCTACTTGATCATGATTCAAGTTTCCAACTGTGTTATTTTTGAGTTGAGATGCTCTACTTATCTTTCATTTCACCTTTACTAAATCTGAGTCCTCTTCAAATTTTGATTCTTTGTCTCTCTCACTTATTCCTCATTCTTGCATTATTTTCAGGACTAATCAAATCTTCAAATAATGAGACTTCCCCTCCTTTATTCTCCCCTGCCACATAAACTGTACAGCTGAAAATAAAATATAAAGTTATCAATGAACAGCAGCTAGAAGAAAATTTGGCTACTGGTGTAAAACTGAAAGTGAACTAAAATCACAAGGCATGGTTGCCCCCTCCTTTGCCTCTCATTCCCAAGAATCTCACAATTTACCATAGAACAAAAAAGTAATTCATCTCGGCAGCAAGTTCAGGTCCCTTTGTTTCAGGACATTTGCAATTAGAAACGTTAAGCCTCACACATTTTATAAAAGGAAAGTTAACTGCTTTGAAAAGGACAAGTTATGCAGTTTTATTTCTCTTTTCACTTTTAAGACCTCCAAATTGTGGATGGCAAGGGCTGGCACAAAGAAATGACCGCTATTAAGAACACAGCTTCCAGAAAGTACTGCAGAGCCATTCCAGAGTGTGGATACAACGTAAGCATCCATCTGGAAGTAATTTAATTTGAAACATTTTTTCCAGATAAACTCACGCAGGGCGCTTTGCTTCAAAACCTTACTGATCTTTCCCCAAATATGCTTTAAAGCATTGAAGGGCTCTGCCAAGCACATGTGAAGAATTATGAAAGAAATGCCTGTTAAAGGGCCAGCTCACTTACCGATCCCATCAACGGCTTTGAAAAATAATACCAGTTGAATAGTTTTCCAGCTTCTGACTGAATTCTGGTGGTGGGATTAAGTGGTGACATGAAATGAATCATTTTTAAGGTTGCTGCAGTTCAAGGAACCCACTTTCCAACAATCATAAATTGACTCTCATTTTCTTGATCCCTGTGTGACTTCATATTGCAACACTCCCAAAACAATCAGTGTTACGAGAACTGAGTTAGTATGACTCCACATAAACGATAAAGGCTCAGTGCTCTGCTATTATAGACTGAGAATGAATGCTGGTTCCAGCTCTTTTTCTTTTCTGTCTTCCAAATAGCAAGGTTCATATTTCAATTGAAAACACTTCACTATCAATCTATAAACTTTTAATGGCAGCTCTTAGCATTTGGTTTTCAAAGATGTTTAAATTGGTGGAGGTAATGGCCTGGTGGTATTATCACTAGATGATTAATCCAGAGGCCCAGATGATGTTCTGGGGTTATGGGTTCAAATGCCACCATGGCAGATGGTAGAATTTGAATTCACAAGAAAACACATCTGGAATTAAGAGTCTGATTTGCCCATGAATCCATTGTTGATTGTCAGGGAAAACCCATCTGGTGCACCAATGTGCTTTCAGGAAGGAAACTGCCATCCTTACCTAGTTTGACCTATATATGACCCCAGACCCACAGCAATGTGCTTGACTCTTAACTTCCCTCTGGGCAATTAAGGATGGGCAATAAATAATGGCCTAGCCAGTGATGCCCACATCTTGTGTATTAAGGAAAGGAAAATATATGTTAAATATATCAGGCATGATTTCAAAAACACCTTCTGTCGTGAACTTTAAATTAATCATTTTTCGCTGTCTAATTGCTCTAAGTCCAACTAAAATGTCAACCAAGGAGACAAGGCACTAGATACCATGTACCAATTTTATTTTGAAAATATAAAGTTTTAATATAAAATATTTAGTGAAATTACTTCACATTCACAAAAGATGAAGATAAGAGTCATTTACAGAAATAGGATGGTCTTTTTACATTAAAATTACCCAGGAAAATGTATCCATTAAGAAGTAAAGTGCTAAAAGTTAGTCAGGATATGTTTTCGGATATGATGGTCATAGCTTGTGATCTGCCCTCGTCGAACTCATTAAGTCTCCTCAAGTCCATCAGTGCAAAGCTCAACTAAAGGCATTCCATGCTACTGGTTGACTGAATGCCCAACGGAGGATAAAGTCCAATCTTCCAGTTAGTCTCTAGCTCTTAAATGTTGTCTGCTCTTCCTCAATTTGAGTGGCACTGACTGGCTGGGTAGCTGCTAGTAAGGGCTGGTACTACAATTGGTTGCAAGGAGAAACAAAGTAAGTGGAACGGCTGGGAGGAGCAAATAGTGTTGACGAAGCAGGAGAAGGCCTTAGACAGGCTAGGAGAGTGGGCAAAGAAGTCGCAGATGGAATACAATGTGGGAAAGTATGAGGTTATGCACTTGGTAGGAAGAAAAGAGACGTAGATTATTTTCTAAATGGAGAAAGGCGTCAGAAATCTGAAGCACAAAGGGACTTAGGAATTTTAGTTCAGCATTCTCTTAAGATTAACATGCCGGTTCAATTGGCAGTTAGGAAGGCAAATGCAATGTTAGCATTCCTTTCAAGAGGGCTAGAAAACAAGAACGGAGATATGCTGTTGAGGCTGCAAAAGACTTTGGTTAGACCGCATTTGGAATACTGTGAATCAAGTAGGCTCTTAGACCAAGTCAGGGAAAAAGTGTGGTGGTAACTAACTGTCCAACCATAGCTGGTTGTGGTTACACCAGATGCAACAACAGAATAGGAGTCTGTACACTCTGGGTCAGTGGGTTCAAGTGGGCTGTGAGTGTTTGTGTTATCTATATGTAACAGAAATTAGGTAAACATGTTGCATTTACTTAACGATCTCCGGTGAGTTTATTTATAGCTGAACCTACATAGAGTGATCTCCTTTGTCTGAGGTGCTTCAAAGCAGAGTGCTGTGGCTCCTCTTCATCCAGTTACTGGGTGTTGGTGATCTTCTTCAGGGGATATCGCTGTTAAAGTAATAATAAAGCAGACTTCAGACAGGTCAGGAGGAATAGATAGATTTTGTGCCAGCTTATTCGAGAGTGATGTTGAATTCTACTACAATAGACTCAGATGAGAATGTTGATGGGAGGATGCAGATGTGCATAGACGCAGAGATGTTTAAAGCATTGTCGGAGCCTTTCAAAGGAGCCTGGCATAAGCATGGGACAGGGCCATGCACAGATTTTAGCGTCAATTCTTTCCAGTTTCGAAGCGGTGGCCAGCTCCACAACAGCACTTGTAGACGTGGCCGTGAAACGACTGCTGGTGGCCACTATCTCAACGTCCAATACAGGACAGGAGGAAGCCACCCTATATTACAATGCTACAGTGGGAGGTCCAACTGAGGAAGTGATATCCAGGCTTGCTGCTATACACAGGCTCAGAATGGTGCTATTGTGGGTACATAGCTCAGTGCTGAAAGGGACAGGTAGACTCTCAGGATATTCCAGCAATCTGACTTTAGGCTACTAGGATTGCTGAAAGCACCAAACAGGGTGAGTGGCTATCACAATTCTGCAGCATGAACACAGTGTCCGTGATTAAATGACAAAGCAGACCCAAAGGAACTGACACCTACTCTGATTTCCTATGCTTTTATGTTTGTTCACATTAGGCTACAATTTCATTTCAACCGTACAGTTGGTGGAAGTTGATTTGCTTCTCTGTGACCTTGCAGTTATTGTGTAAATGCAGCCTCAATCCAAAAAGCAGCATAGAGTGAGCCTCCTGTGAGTCAACTTGAAGGAAAGGGGAGATTTTAGTTTCAGAGGAAAGTCTTATTTCATTACGACAAGTCTCCTGATTGGATCGTTCTGATATACAGGCATAATTTGCATTATGTCTGAAATGAATTCTACACCCACACCTCCAGATCCCTGACCTTCAGATACTTTTTCTCTCTAGATGTTGATGGAATGCCTGTTTCATCTCAATATACAAATCAGCTGAGACAATGTTTATTTAATGTACCATAAGATAGATTTCAAACATTTGATTGAATGGCAGCAATTATATGATCATTTCCTTCATGATATCAATTGTTTTTCAGATTGGAAAGGCTTATAAATCAAGTGAGTTCTGACTGAGCAAGCAAAATGGATTATCAAGGCTAAATAAGGGAAAAATTTCCATCCATGGTAAGAAGGTTGACAAAATTCCATTAGGTTCATGATACCTTTGCAACAGGCTTAATGATATAAACTTGATATCTCTGCTCTGTTTAAATGATGAATGATAACCCAGGGAGCTAGAGAATTCCCTCTATCCTGTGTCCACTCATTGTTACAAATCTCAGCGAGTCAGTGGCATTTCGGGGTTCATTTTGAATTCTCCTAACAACAAAACTCCAGTCACAAGCTGTTACATTGTCCACTCGGTGTCAATTGTTTCATTTATGTTCCCTTTCGTTTTAAATGTTAATTTTATTAAATGAAAGCTGATCTAAATCCTTACATCGTATTCAATTGTTTTCTAGCTTATTTAATTATCTGTGATTCTAAAATTGGCTCATTGCAATCACATTGTAAAATTTGGTTTTACAATTTTCACAAAATTAAATTTATACTGAACTTCAATTTAAAACCAGGAGCTGAAGCAATATCCCACATATTCCAGTCAGTCAATTTGTAAAGAATCCTTAATTTCTAACATAGTTACTATTCCAGTTATTGTATTACTTTAACACCGTGCTGTACGAATTTGCACAGTTTTGCAAGACATGTGAGAATTGGGCTGCAAACTTGAAATTGTCCTTCAGTTCTTTCGCAAGACGCTCCTGCTAGAAAACAAAGTGATAGTAGTAGTGAGATAGTAGGAACTGCAGATGCTGGAGGATCTGAGATAACAAGGTGTAGAGCTGGATGAACACAGCAGG